CCTGGAGGGGGGGGTCTCACCTCTGGCCCGTGCCCCTGCGCCTCTTGCCGGGGGGGTGCCCCGCGGGCAGGGCCGGGGCCTCCTCGTCGGTGGCCACGATGTAGTCGTAGATGCCCCGGTTGAACTGGGCGATGACGTGGCACCTGGGGGACAAGGACATGTCACCCTCACTGTCCCCCCCACCCCCCCTTTGGTGTGACACCCCCCAGATTCACAGGTACCCCCACCCTTCTGCCAAGGGCACCCTGAACCCTCCTGGGACACTCAGGGTGTCACTGTCCCCCGTGGGGCATCTCCCCGGGCACTCCTTATGTCACCCGGGGCACCCTTGGGGACCCCTTGTCCCCTCGGGCACCCCATGTCCCTTAGGGCACCCCTTAACCCTCCCTTGTCCCCAGGGGGCACCCCTTGTCCCCTCAGTCACCCCTTGTCCCCAAGGGGCACCCCATGTCCCTTAGGGCACCCCTTAACCCTCCCTTGTCCCCAGGGGGCACCCCTTGTCCCCTCAGTCACCCCTTGTCCCCAAGGGGCACCCCATGTCCCTTTGGGCACCCCTTATCCCCCCCTTGTCCCCAGGGGGCACCCCTTGTCCCTCAGCGCACCTGGGGTACCCTGGGGCACCCCTTGTCCCCCTGGGCACCTCATCCCTAAGGGGCACCCCTTGTGTCTTTGGGCACCCCATGTCCCTTTGGGCATCCCTTATGCCCCCCTTGTCCCTAAGGGGCACCCCTTGTCTCTTCGGGCACCCCTTAACCCCCCCTTGTCCCCAAGGGGCACCCCGTGTCCCTCAGCTCACTTGGGGCACCCCCAGGCACCCCTTGTCCCTAAAGGGCACCCCTTATGCCCCCCTTGTCCCCAAGGGGCACCCCATATCCCTTAGGGCACCCCATATCCCTTAGGGCACCCCTTATCCCCCCTCGTCCCTAAGGGGCACCCCTGGTCCCCTCAGACACCCCTTGTCCCCAAGGGGCACTCCCTGTCCCTCAGCTCACTTGGGACACTCTGGGGCACCCCTTGTCCCTTAGGGGCACTCCATGTCCCTCAGTTCACTTTGGGCACCCCCAGGCACCCCTTGTCCCCAAGGGGCACCCCATGTCCCTAAGGGCACCCCTTAAACCCTCCTTGTCCTCTCGGGGCACCCCTTGTCCCTCACCTCACCTGGGGCACCCTGGGGCACCCCTTGCCCCCTGGGCACCCCTTGTCCCTAAGGAGCACCCCATGTCCCTCAGCTCACTCGTCCCTAAGGGGCACCCCTGGTCCCCTCAGACACCCCTTGTCCCCAAGGGGCACCCCATGTCCCTCAGCTCACTTGGGACACTCTGGGGCACCCCTTGTCCCTAAGGGGCACCCCATGTCCCTTTGGGCACCCCTTAACCCCGCCTTGTCCCCAAGGGGCACCCCATGTCCCTCAGCTCACTTGGGACACTCTGGGGCACCCCTTGTCCCTAAGGTGCACCCCATGTCCCTTTAGGCACCCCTTAAACCCCCTGATGCCCAAGGGGCACCCCTTGTCTCTTTGGGCACCCCTTAACCCCCCCATGGCCCTAAGGGGCACCCCTTGTCCCTCAGCTCACTTGGGACACTCTGGGGCACCCCTTGTCCCTTAGGGGCACTCCATGTCCCTCAGTTCACTTTGGGCACCCCCAGGCACCCCTTGTCCCCAAGGGGCACCCCATGTCCCTAAGGGCACCCCTTAAACCCTCCTTGTCCTCTCGGGGCACCCCTTGTCCCTCACCTCACCTGGGGCACCCTGGGGCACCCCTTGCCCCCTGGGCACCCCTTGTCCCTAAGGAGCACCCCATGTCCCTCAGCTCACTTGGGACACTCTGGGGCACCCCATATCCCTTAGGGCACCCCTTAACCCCCCCTTGTCCCCCAGTGCCCCCCCATTTCTCCCAGCTTTGGGGGGGGCTGTTACCGGGAGCGTGCGGGGAGCTGGGCGCTGAGGGCGCAGGCGGGGATGCCGAACTGGTCGAGGAAGAGCTTGAGGCGGTAGCCACGGGCCAGCGTGGCCACGAAGGGGCACCCCTTAACCCCCCCTTGTCCCCACAGGGAACCCCACGTCCGTTTGGGCACCCCTTGTCCCCTCAGACACCCCTTGTCCCCAAGGGGCACCCCTTGTCCCTCAGCTCACCTGGGGCACCCTGGGGCATCCCTTGTCCCTAAGGGGCACCCCTTGTCTCTTCGGGCACCCCATGTCCCTTAGGGCACCCCTTTTACCCCCCTTGTCCCCAAGGAGCACCCCATGTCCCTTTGGGCACCCCTTATCCCCCCCATGTCCCTAAGGGGCACCCCATGTCCCTCAGCTCACTTAGGGCACCCTGGGGCACCCCTTGTCCCTAAGGGGCACCCCATATCCCTTAGGGCACCCCTTATCCCCCCCCCTTGTCCCCAGGGGGCACCCCTTGTCCCCAAGGGGCACCCCATGTCCCTCAGCTCACTTGGGACACTCTGGGGCACCCCTTGTCCCTAAGGTGCACCCCATGTCCCTTTAGGCACCCCTTAAACCCCCTGATGCCCAAGGGGCACCCCTTGTCTCTTTGGGCACCCCTTAACCCCCCCATGGCCCTAAGGGGCACCCCTTGTCCCTCAGCTCACTTGGGACACTCTGGGGCACCCCTTGTCCCTTAGGGGCACTCCATGTCCCTCAGTTCACTTTGGGCACCCCCAGGCACCCCTTGTCCCCAAGGGGCACCCCATGTCCCTAAGGGCACCCCTTAAACCCTCCTTGTCCTCTCGGGGCACCCCTTGTCCCTCACCTCACCTGGGGCACCCTGGGGCACCCCTTGCCCCCTGGGCACCCCTTGTCCCTAAGGAGCACCCCATGTCCCTCAGCTCACTTGGGACACTCTGGGGCACCCCATATCCCTTAGGGCACCCCTTATCCCCCCCTTGTCCCCCAGGACCCCCCCATTTCTCCCAGCTTTGGGGGGGGCTGTTACCGGGAGCGTGCGGGGAGCTGGGCGCTGAGGGCGCAGGCGGGGATGCCGAACTGGTCGAGGAAGAGCTTGAGGCGGTAGCCACGGGCCAGCGTGGCCACGAAGGGGCACCCCTTAACCCCCCCTTGTCCCCACAGGGAACCCCACGTCCGTTTGGGCACCCCTTGTCCCCTCAGACACCCCTTGTCCCCAAGGGGCACCCCTTGTCCCTCAGCTCACCTGGGGCACCCTGGGGCATCCCTTGTCCCTAAGGGGCACCCCTTGTCTCTTTGGGCACCCCTTAACCCCGCCTTGTCCCCAAGGGGCACTCCCTGTCCCTCAGCTCACTTGGGACACTCTGGGGCACCCCTTGTCCCCAGGGAGCACCCCTTAACCCCCCCTTGTCCCTAAGGGAGACCCCATAACCCTAAGGGGCACCTCTTGTCCCCCCTCTTGTCCCCAAGGAGCACCCCTTGTCCCTCAGCTCACCTGGGGCACCCTGGGGCACCTCTTGTCCCCAAGGGGCACCCCATGTCCCTTAGGGCACCCCTTAACCCCCCTTGTCCCCTCAGTCACCCCATGTCCCTTTGGGCACCCCTTAACCCCCCCATGTCCCCAAGGGGCACCCCTTATCCCTGTGGAGCACTCCATGTCCCTTAGGGCACCCCTTATCCCCCCCTTGTCCCCCAGTGCCCCCCCATTTCTCCCATTGGGGGGGCTGTTACCGGGAGCGTGCGGGGAGCTGGGCGTTGAGGGCGCAGGCGGGGATGCCGAACTGGTCGAGGAAGAGCTTGAGGCGGTAGCCACGGGCCAGCGTGGCCACGAAGAGCAGGGCCCGGCCCCGCAGCAGCCGCAGCTTGAGCAGGGCGTAGAGCAGCAGGAACTTGTCCTCCTCCGTCCCGCACCGCACCACGAACTGGGACAACTGGGACATACTGGGGAGCTGGGGCTCCGGGGGACACAGCGTCACCTGGGACCACGGGGAGGGAGGAGGAGGAGGAGGAGGAGGAAAAGGAGGAGGGGGGGCAATGTTGTCACACACCCTCAAACTGGTGGCCCCCCAGTTCTGGGCACGCTCTGCCCCCCCCAAAAAATGGCCCTTGGACCCCCCCAAAAATGGCCCTCAGACCCCCCCAAACCCTTGTCCCCAAGGGGCACCCCATGTCCCTTTGGGCACCCCTTATCCCCCCCTTGTCCCCAGGGGGCACCCCTTGTCCCTCAGCGCACCTGGGGTACCCTGGGGCACCCCTTGTCCCCCTGGGCACCTCATCCCTAAGGGGCACCCCTTGTGTCTTTGGGCACCCCATGTCCCTTTGGGCATCCCTTATGCCCCCCTTGTCCCTAAGGGGCACCCCTTGTCTCTTCGGGCACCCCTTAACCCCCCCTTGTCCCCAAGGGGCACCCCGTGTCCCTCAGCTCACTTGGGGCACCCCCAGGCACCCCTTGTCCCTAAAGGGCACCCCTTATGCCCCCCTTGTCCCCAAGGGGCACCCCATATCCCTTAGGGCACCCCATATCCCTTAGGGCACCCCTTATCCCCCCTCGTCCCTAAGGGGCACCCCTGGTCCCCTCAGACACCCCTTGTCCCCAAGGGGCACCCCATGTCCCTCAGCTCACTTGGGACACTCTGGGGCACCCCTTGTCCCTTAGGGGCACTCCATGTCCCTCAGTTCACTTTGGGCACCCCCAGGCACCCCTTGTCCCCAAGGGGCACCCCATGTCCCTAAGGGCACCCCTTAAACCCTCCTTGTCCTCTCGGGGCACCCCTTGTCCCTCACCTCACCTGGGGCACCCTGGGGCACCCCTTGCCCCCTGGGCACCCCTTGTCCCTAAGGAGCACCCCATGTCCCTCAGCTCACTTGGGACACTCTGGGGCACCCCATATCCCTTAGGGCACCCCTTATCCCCCCCTTGTCCCCCAGGACCCCCCCATTTCTCCCATTGGGGGGGCTGTTACCGGGAGCGTGCGGGGAGCTGGGCGCTGAGGGCGCAGGCGGGGATGCCGAACTGGTCGAGGAAGAGCTTGAGGCGGTAGCCACGGGCCAGCGTGGCCACGAAGGGGCACCCCTTAACCCCCCCTTGTCCCCACAGGGAACCCCACGTCCGTTTGGGCACCCCTTGTCCCCTCAGACACCCCTTGTCCCCAAGGGGCACCCCTTGTCCCTCAGCTCACCTGGGGCACCCTGGGGCATCCCTTGTCCCTAAGGGGCACCCCTTGTCTCTTCGGGCACCCCATGTCCCTTAGGGCACCCCTTTTACCCCCCTTGTCCCCAAGGAGCACCCCATGTCCCTTTGGGCACCCCTTATCCCCCCCATGTCCCTAAGGGGCACCCCATGTCCCTCAGCTCACTTAGGGCACCCTGGGGCACCCCTTGTCCCTAAGGGGCACCCCATATCCCTTAGGGCACCCCTTATCCCCCCCCCTTGTCCCCAGGGGGCACCCCTTGTCCCCAAGGGGCACCCCATGTCCCTCAGCTCACTTGGGACACTCTGGGGCACCCCTTGTCCCTAAGGTGCACCCCATGTCCCTTTAGGCACCCCTTAAACCCCCTGATGCCCAAGGGGCACCCCTTGTCTCTTTGGGCACCCCTTAACCCCCCCATGGCCCTAAGGGGCACCCCTTGTCCCTCAGCTCACTTGGGACACTCTGGGGCACCCCTTGTCCCTTAGGGGCACTCCATGTCCCTCAGTTCACTTTGGGCACCCCCAGGCACCCCTTGTCCCCAAGGGGCACCCCATGTCCCTAAGGGCACCCCTTAAACCCTCCTTGTCCTCTCGGGGCACCCCTTGTCCCTCACCTCACCTGGGGCACCCTGGGGCACCCCTTGCCCCCTGGGCACCCCTTGTCCCTAAGGAGCACCCCATGTCCCTCAGCTCACTTGGGACACTCTGGGGCACCCCATATCCCTTAGGGCACCCCTTAACCCCCCCTTGTCCCCCAGTGCCCCCCCATTTCTCCCAGCTTTGGGGGGGGCTGTTACCGGGAGCGTGCGGGGAGCTGGGCGCTGAGGGCGCAGGCGGGGATGCCGAACTGGTCGAGGAAGAGCTTGAGGCGGTAGCCACGGGCCAGCGTGGCCACGAAGGGGCACCCCTTAACCCCCCCTTGTCCCCACAGGGAACCCCACGTCCGTTTGGGCACCCCTTGTCCCCTCAGACACCCCTTGTCCCCAAGGGGCACCCCTTGTCCCTCAGCTCACCTGGGGCACCCTGGGGCATCCCTTGTCCCTAAGGGGCACCCCTTGTCTCTTCGGGCACCCCATGTCCCTTAGGGCACCCCTTTTACCCCCCTTGTCCCCAAGGAGCACCCCATGTCCCTTTGGGCACCCCTTATCCCCCCCATGTCCCTAAGGGGCACCCCATGTCCCTCAGCTCACTTAGGGCACCCTGGGGCACCCCTTGTCCCTAAGGGGCACCCCATATCCCTTAGGGCACCCCTTATCCCCCCCCCTTGTCCCCAGGGGGCACCCCTTGTCCCCAAGGGGCACCCCATGTCCCTCAGCTCACTTGGGACACTCTGGGGCACCCCTTGTCCCTAAGGTGCACCCCATGTCCCTTTAGGCACCCCTTAAACCCCCTGATGCCCAAGGGGCACCCCTTGTCTCTTTGGGCACCCCTTAACCCCCCCATGGCCCTAAGGGGCACCCCTTGTCCCTCAGCTCACTTGGGACACTCTGGGGCACCCCTTGTCCCTTAGGGGCACTCCATGTCCCTCAGTTCACTTTGGGCACCCCCAGGCACCCCTTGTCCCCAAGGGGCACCCCATGTCCCTAAGGGCACCCCTTAAACCCTCCTTGTCCTCTCGGGGCACCCCTTGTCCCTCACCTCACCTGGGGCACCCTGGGGCACCCCTTGCCCCCTGGGCACCCCTTGTCCCTAAGGAGCACCCCATGTCCCTCAGCTCACTTGGGACACTCTGGGGCACCCCATATCCCTTAGGGCACCCCTTAACCCCCCCTTGTCCCCCAGTGCCCCCCCATTTCTCCCAGCTTTGGGGGGGGCTGTTACCGGGAGCGTGCGGGGAGCTGGGCGCTGAGGGCGCAGGCGGGGATGCCGAACTGGTCGAGGAAGAGCTTGAGGCGGTAGCCACGGGCCAGCGTGGCCACGAAGGGGCACCCCTTAACCCCCCCTTGTCCCCACAGGGAACCCCACGTCCGTTTGGGCACCCCTTGTCCCCTCAGACACCCCTTGTCCCCAAGGGGCACCCCTTGTCCCTCAGCTCACCTGGGGCACCCTGGGGCACCCCTTGTCCCTAAGGGGCACCCCTTGTCTCTTTGGGCACCCCTTAACCCCGCCTTGTCCCCAAGGGGCACTCCCTGTCCCTCAGCTCACTTGGGACACTCTGGGGCACCCCTTGTCCCCAGGGAGCACCCCTTAACCCCCCCTTGTCCCTAAGGGAGACCCCATAACCCTAAGGGGCACCTCTTGTCCCCCCTCTTGTCCCCAAGGAGCACCCCTTGTCCCTCAGCTCACCTGGGG